GATACAACTTGAGACAATTTCCTTAGACAACTTTTAAAATTAGTTTTCTTTGACATATCAGCTAGAGGAATAGAATATCTAACTTGTGTAGATGAGTTTTAGAGGATTGGTTTATTATCTACAATAAGATACTCGCGACCATTGTCGCTGTGACAATCAGACTGACAGAGCTAGGTCACTGATCAAACATATCAACAGATTTCCACCGAAAGTGAAGTCTTTGTACCTCCTAATCCAGTAATCGTTTACCTACTGGAGTTTATCAAGGGTAACGATTTCACGATTGACCTTTTAATTGAGTTGTTCGGCCAACATTGTGAATTTGTTATTTTTAGCGACAGAAATAATACCTTTCTTTTCAAGTATTACATCTGACGGAATGTTTACAAAGTCTAATAAAGTGGAATAATGACTTCTCCCTACACAAAGGTAACATAGTACTGTCATAAAACTCGTACAATACACTTACAGGCACGCGAGCGTGACGTATTTAGTTACATTACACGCGAGAACTACGTATTAACTGACAGTTCACGCGAGTGTGTATACTTAATTGCACATGAGCGATACATGATAACTGAAAATAGAAGTGAATGTTACGCGTGTAGTTTTAATTACACCTGGACATAACATGTGTTTATGTACAAAAAACTTCAACGTAACGTGAGTGTAACGTGTTGGTTAATAATACACGTGAGCTTTACGTGCTATTTAACAATACACGTGAGTGTCACATGTTAATTAACAATACACGTGAGTGTCACATGATAATTAACAATACACGTAAGTTTCACATGTTAATTAACAATCCACGTGAGTGGCACATGTTAATTAACAATAAACGTAAGTGTCACATTGTAATTAACAATACACGTGATTGTCACATGTTATTTAACAATACACGTGAGCTTTACGTGCTATTTAACAATGCACGTGAGTGTCACATGTTACTTAACAATACACGTGAGCTTTACGTGCTATTTAACAATGCACGTGAGTGTCACATGTGAATTAACAATACACGTGAATGTAACATGTTAATTAACAATCCACGTGAGTGTCACATGTGAATTAACAATACACGTGATTGTCACATGTTATTTAACAATACACGTGAGCTTTACGTGCTATTTAAGAATACACGTGAGTGTCACATGTTAATTAACAATACACGTTAGTGTTACGTGTTAATTAAAAATACACGGGAGTGTTACATTTTCATTTACAATACATATACGTTACCTGTCAATTAACAATATACGTGAGTCTCACGTGTAAGTTAACAATACACGTGAGTATCACGTGTAAATGTTATAATACACGTGTGCGTTACGTGTTAATCATCAATGCACGTGAGCATTATTTGTTAATTCAAAATCCACGTGAATGACGTGTTTATTAAAAATCCATGTGATTGTTATGTTTAAACTGTCAATAAGTAACGTGAGCGTTACGTGAGCTTTGTGGGTTCTCTTAAGTACACGTAAGCACACGTGTTTACTGTTTTCTCACAATGCATGTGAGCGTCACGTGTTAACTCACAGAAACTCGAGTGTCACGTTTTTACTTACATGTACAATACACGTGAGAATGACATATGGTTAAAGATAATACAAGATAGCGTAACACGTTAACGTGTTTGAGGACTGGTTTGCCAGGTTTCACCATTAAAAAATGATGATTTTCGAATTGTAAAAGATTTTATTTCATATATGGCACACCATCTTAGTCGTTTGCAAGGAAAAGGAAACAGGATTCAATGACTCGTAAGTATGTAACTTAAGTTGTCATTAAGGGTTTCCTCACTACATGTACATATTAGTGACAAAACTTCAATGTATAGCGATCATTTACACCTCGCGTAAATCTTTGTCATCCAAACGAAGTTGTAACTTATGTTTTAATGTATTGTTTTTAGTCTCCTGTTAGTGAAACTTTGTGTCTGGGTGGGGATGAGCGGGAAGGGGTGTGGGAGGGTAAGGGAAGCGCATGGTTGAGGGGTTGGAAGGTTTCTTTAAGGTGATAGCTTGACCGAGTCGCGACACAAAACTTATATATACAAAACGAAATTAAGGGGAGATAACCCTATGATTGAAATACCTTTTTCGGTGAGAGATCTATATCTAGATCACAACACGGGGAGAAAGGTCAAATCATCGTCGAGACATAACTTCTGAACAGCTAAAATTATTATAAAGCTGTTCAGACGGTTGTATGATAGCATACAAATGTCATGTTTGTGCAACCATTCCTGCTGAACTGGAATACCCCTAACCGTATGCAAACTTGGTGTTGGAGGAAATATTGGGCAATCGTCAGGTACTAACCGAAGGTCGGTGTTTTTTCTCCGGGAAAATATGACGTTAAACACAAACAAACCAAAAACCAAAAACGTCATATAAACAGCTATGGTAATGTAAGGACGAGCCATGTTTTGGTGGTGGAGGAAAGCCGGAGTACCTGGAGAAAAACACCCGACCTGTGGAATTACCTGGCGAGTGCCCCACACGAATACAATGTATTAATAAATCTCCATTTAGACCAGTTTGGACACGTGTTTAAACTATCAATACATTTTTTTTCGTTTTTAATGAATGATATATTGATATAAAGGAAAGGTGAATTTAACCACAACGTCAGAATTATAATTTATAATTGATTAGAAATACAATGTAGGTATAGCTTACACGTAAAGATGACAAGATGTCACATTTAAATGTTCGTACCTAAATATAAACACGCATGCTCAACCAGTCGTTAGGCAGTATTTTAATTATTTAAAATCTCTTCAACAATGGAATTTAAAATACAGGCAAATATCTTTACCTTAAAGGAATATGTGTCACGTATCGTCGTCCATTCAGAACTTTTAAATACAAGATTTAATATATACAAAGAAATAAACCTAAAAAGATGTAATATTATCAATCATATAACCGGAATGTAATACCATAAACATTGATTCTGTTGTTAGTGTCGCATAAAGGACGTGTCGCGTGTCGGTGTTGTAAATAAACAGCTTAGCTGTCTACCAGTCAGGCGTGGAGATCCAGGGTACAGCCCCACTAGGTAGGGGTCGGACAAGCTGGGACAAGACAGTGCTCTCTATTGTCCCCGGATCTGTATAAATTTACTACTTACTAATGAAACCGGGGATCAAAGAGTCCCGTATATGTTAATACAGGCGTGTGACGACAGACAGCATTTAAACTGACAATACATGCATATATTTTACATAGAGAAGATCCGACTAATGAAGATTAAACAAAACACGAAAGTAATTTTAAAAGGGTCACATATTACGCCTTGTGGGGGTATTTAGCACATAATGTATGCCAAATAATAGATATCTGTCATAATGTGGGGAAACATTTTGCCGTTAGATCTATAGAAGTTAAAGGAATTATGAAACCTGTACTTGTTTTAGCGGGAATGATGAAACCTTTATCAGTTATGAAAGTGATGAAACCTGAACAAGTTATGGAAATGATAAAACACATAATTTTGAATGAGAGTAATGATTTTATATCCGTTAATGGAATGACAAAACCTACAAATCACCGATATGTTAAAACAGACAATTTGTCTGCCACCAACATAATATACCTCCATCAGGCCATTTCAATATCTGAATTTCCTGGTCCTATGTTTTCAGTATATAGTGAGGAAAGATCAATCTTGAAATATAATCAAGGGACGGTCTGTTACTTAGGCATTATCGGATGCTCCCCGCAAGGTCAAGGTTATTGTTCCAGATCAATATCAGATAACCTTATTTTCGTAACAATCTGGATGTTTTGAATACTTTGAATATCAATAAACTTATAAACTTATGTTGCTTACATAATTTAGTTGCAGTTTCGTAGTTAAAGCATTGCAATGGAGGTGACACTTTAAGTGACTCTTATCGAAGGTAGGGTCATAAGTCAAAGGTCAGGCAGGCTATGTCCTTGCTCACTCCTTCACTAACTTGTTTCCTAAGAGGATTGTTACTGTATACCAGTATACACTTAGACTATAACCACAATATTATGTACATATCTCATAACATTCTTTGGTGTTGTTGTTGTTATCAGAGGTCGACAACAAGGAGAGTAAGACCTTGTCTCATCCTGAATATATTTACAGCCGAAGACTGATATGACAACCATATACTGCACGTGCATGGTCATTACAGACTACGTACAAGGAATATTATTCTATGTGAAGACTTACTGTATGTAAGTTTTTACAATGGTAGTTTCAAGAATGATAGATGTCATGCATAGAAGAATGTGTCCTCAAGGGAAACGTTTCCATACCTGAAATTTATGTAGTAATGACAACTATACATTATCAGTCATTGGTACTAAAACTGGTCCGGTTGTTCGTTGTAACGTCACAAGCTGCATGACGTCAAAACTCTCATGAATGATTTTGAAACTGTTTCATTGATGAACAAAATATTTCACATTGTCGATGTGTAACAGGGAATTGTAAAACACACTAATGCGGAATGAATACTTTAAATATTCTTATCAATGTCCCCCCTCAACAATATCTCCATTTAATTCACATATAAAACACCTGTTTCAGTATGTGGGTCGGTCTGATAGATACCAGTATAACCGACCCTGAACACAAGTGCGTACTTGAGTGGATATGACTTACAAATGTACTAGTTCCCGTATATCTGGAACAGAACGGCGTTTATAATAGTAAACCACAACACAACACGTCCGGAGACAACGTCCGGAGACAACGTTCGTGTTGGTTTGATAATTACAAACACAATGCTTAAAATATCGTTTGGATCTATTTCAGTGTGACGTCACGTAAACAGACCCATTCTCTATGAGTTAAACATGGCGTCTTTGGAACTTTTTAAACTATTTACATGCCAGCTTCGATTAACAAATACAAGTGATTATCAGTTATTTGTGTGTCGTTGTTCCGATTTATCCCAACGTCTTGATCTGTGACACGGCATTTATTTGTTTTGTTTTGTTTTTTACTTTCAGGATTCAGTCATTATTCATCACAGCCAAAGAGCGATGTTGTTCAATGTTCCTTGCTGTAACCGGATGTGGATTTAACACAATTATACCATGGCGCATGCGTGTGATGAACAGCGGATGTCGTGCCAGAACAGCTACAATGTGTCATTTCAAACTCCCGGTCTATACTCACCGAGTCTGAAGGATGTGCATTCGTTTAGGAATCTCAGTCTGAGCTATGAATTTCCAAACTTCGGAGATTTTTCTACTGTTAAGACCTTTAAAGACAAAATGGCATACAATGCTGCAAATTCAAGACGAGGCTCTGGGCCTGTGGCAAGCGCATGGGTTGACCCACTGGCGTCAAGTGCGAATCCAATCATACAGCAGACTCATCCCAGCACGCCAAAAACTAGCACTCCATTACCAGGGAGGACTGCAACCTCTAAACGACTGGCAGTTCGTTTCCAAAACAGCAGTTGTGTGACGTCATCCGATGACCCAGTTATGACGTTCCTGCTGAAAATTTTACATCAGCTAGAGGAAGACAGAGAAGAGGAAATGGTCCAAAGAAAGAAAGAACGTCGGCAATGGAGGGAGAAATGGAGACTGAGACAACTTACTGGTCGAGGGTCGGACACAGACTCGGATGTAAGTATTGTTTATGATTGAATCCATATTCTTATATGTATCCCCCGCTTTCACCGAAACGGGGGATATTAATATGGGTCCGTCCGTCCGTCCGTCTGTCTGTCACGGTTCGTTTCCGTGCAATAACTACAACAAATGTTAACCGATTATCTTCAAACTTGGTCACAGGGTTAAATGCCTTAAGGGTTCGGCCAAGTTCGATGACCACTTTCAAGGGACCCCATTTGGCGGAGTTATGGCCCCTTGAATAATGAAACGTCATTATCCTTCAAACTTCGTCACAGGGTTAAATGCCTTAAGGGCTCGGCCAAGTTCGATGACCATTTTCAGCGGACTCCATTTGGCGGAGTTATGGCCCCTTGAATAACGAAAAACGTAACTATCTGCTGGGTTTTGTTTCTGTGCAATAACTATAACAAATGTTATGATGAACATTGTTATATAGGGATATTAGGGGACTGCGAATTCAACCGCATCGGTTTCGTTGCCATAGCTATCACACGGAGGCTTCTGATTGGCCAAAATTGAGATATTGTTAGATTTTGATGAAAATTTGTATATAGGGACATTAGGGGATTACGAATAAGACCGCATTTGTTGCGTTACCATAGCAACCACACGGAGGCTTCTGATTGGTCGAGATTTGGATATTCTTCGATTTTGATGAAAATTGGTATATAGGGATATTAAGGGACTGAAAATTAAACCGCATATGTTTCGTTGCCATAGCAACCACACAAAGGCTTCTGATTGGTGGATTGTTCGATTTTGATGAAAATTGGTATCTGGTGATATATTGGGATTGCGAATTCAACCGCATATGTTTCATTGTCATAGCAACCAAATGGAGGCGCTTCTGATTGGTCGAAATTTAGAATTTTTTTTTGCTTTTATGAAAATTGGTATATACGGATATTAGGGGACTGCGAATAAAACTGCATAAGTTTCGTTACCATTGCAACCACACGGAGGCTTCTGATTGGTCGCAATTTAGATATTGTTTGATAACGATGAAAATTGGTATATAGGGGTATTAGGGGACTGCAAATTCAATCGCATACGTGCCGTTGCCATAGCAACTACACAGATTGGTTACAATTTAGAAATTGCTCAATTTAGTATGTACATTGTAGGTGTACTATGGCAATGCGATCCTTTTCTGATGCATCTGTGCGACTATGGGGGCAGTTTGGGGGACATCTGTAATGGTCCCCCATTACAATAAGTACTTCTTGCTGTAGATATTGTTAAGATGTTTTAACCAAATTCCTTATGCACATTCAACTCATGCTCAGTTTGCCAACCGATGTGATTTGTGCATATTTACGGATAATCAATGAGGTATAGGGCTTTTTTCTTCAAGTTTCAAGCTATACGTTATGTCTCAACAGCACGATACTCACATGTTTAAACCTAACCTCAATAATGTTAACCTACAATATGTCCTGCAACCGGGGGATATAAATTCCACGAATTTGCTTGTTGTTCTAGTATTCCGTTGTTATGGATGTTTATAAGAAACAGTAGAATTTCAATGTTGCCACATTCCTGCAATGGTCAGTGGTATCCAACATTGCCACGACTATATAGCGACATTGTCCAGCAATACTATATTTAATGAATAGTTTTATGCTTAAATTGGTCAGGTCATGAGGTGATAATTCCAGTTGGACTTGTGTAAATTAAAAAGATGGTTTCTACTTATATTTATAGTAATTATTTAAAGCATCGTTATTTAAACACCAAGTGTCATCGATCCCCATTTTTAAACTGTTCCGAAAGGTTCACTGACGATAGGTCCAGCCAGTACTTACTCATGGCTTTACTTCCTTGCTTTTAATGCAAAACAACACTTAGTTCATTTCAGTATTTATTACGATACATAGATGTTGGGGTTTTGTTAATAACGTGACGTCATACTGGAATGGTTTCCATTTGACGTGTGTCGTCTGAAGGAACGGGTATCCATGGAAACACGACATTGTTCCCGCAAAAAATGGCTGTTATATCGTTTGGTAAACCACATCGTTTGGCTTTATTGGGGGCGAAAGATACGACCGATTATACAGTTTTCTGTGTTGTTTAGCACATACACATACGTATTTAGATATATCTATTGAACATGTAGAATGGCTTGAAACACATTTCATTTTAAACATGCACTTAAATTCTTTACTGGTGCCACATTCTGAACGTTTACGTCATCAAAACGCCATGATCGTAGTATTGTTTGTCACCACCGTCTTTCTATTATTGTTTTCCCATACCATTATGAATATATAGGCGATAGTTGGAGCTTACGAATGTTAACAAGACGAACGAACTTGTAATGGCTCCCTTCTTTAATCCATGTATTATGGCCCTACTGCCCACTTATATATGACGTAAGAGTCCAGTGAGCGTCAACACATTGACATATAAATATACCCCAACTCAACGTCGATAGAAAAAGAAAATAGAAACTTAAGAGACTGAAAAGACGACAGACAATTGTTAACCGATCCATTGATAGAATATCGATCTAACCCGGATTTACTCATCAGTGCGTTGCCCTAAATAAAATGTTCTATATAGAAACAACCCTTCACCTCGATATATCGGTTTAAAATGCTGTATTTGAAAATTTGCTTGATAGGTTAACAACATTATAATCCAAGAAAACGTTTTAGCAAAATTTAGATGTCTGAACGAAAGTTTAAGCTAGAATTGTACTGCCGAGATTCTCAGACTTTGTAGAAATATTTATGTAAGGCTCAATGGGAGACAACTCGTACTGATAATCTTGAGGACTAAATTACTTCCCTGAAGAGCTCAGGATACACAACTCGCAATTTTGTGAAATAAAACGTGGATATTGTTGATCAGTGGCGGCTGTATATAACACAGGGACCTGGAAGTAAGTTACATATGTGTACAACCTGAAAATTAGGGGTCAAGATGAACAAATGTTATCCCCTTATGACGGTACAGTACATACACATGCTGTAACTAATTCACCGGACCCTGTGACTTTTAGGTACTACATAGCATAGTCTGAGATGCAAATGAGCTAAAGTAGAATGGCTATTGATGAAAGTGTCACATGATTTAATACCGATGCATGACCATTCAATGTACCCGCTAAGTCGTGTGACGTGTAAGACATTCTTTTATCATCGAACCATTCCAAATTAAAAAATAAAAGAAAAAGAAAACAACGAACAAAAAAAATACATTTTTTTTTTTTACCAAAAACAGGAATGAGATTTTTTTAATGCGACTTTTAAAGTATGAAAAAAATCATTACCTGTTTGGTATGTTTGCATGTTTCTATATGGATTGTCTCCCTTAGTACTCGGTATTGGGGGACTAATGAACAGTGCCAGACATTATGTCAAACGAGAAAAACATGCAAATATACTTGTGGCAGGAGACAGGACGCAGGAACTAGGTAATTGATCGCCAAATTTGACGAAGGGTTAGGTTTGGATTTTCAAAAAGAAAAATCAAGAATAGCATCATATATGTGACTGACGCAGTAGAATGTTTACCTAGCGTGGTATGCTAAAGATATATTTGTCTTCGAACTCAAATTCAGTTGAGTTAAGTTTTCACTGGCTTAGAGTAACCTCCTCTGTCAAGTTATTTACCTTAAAAGTTCAATCATAATTTCATAGACTTTGCGGTCCACAAATTGGACTCTTGTTGTGGAGCTGACCGCTTAATAAGGTAATAGGATTCTGTCACCATTTCTCAGTAAAATTTCTTCAAATTTTGTAGGTTGTCAGAATTTTAAGGATTTTAAATGGAAATTTATATTAAAAGGAGTTAATTTTGAAAAAAAAAGAAAGACAAAATAATGTCAATAAAAATGATACTGCCATAGATTCGTATTGCATTAATGTATATCAATTTAATAAATGCTGAAATTGTGTAAAATAAATTATCTATAAACGATTAAAAATGACATTTAATATTAAAACCATATACACATAGTAATTACATGTAAGAGTTATCTTTCTTGAAAAATTTCACAATACATGTAGCCAGTTTCCTGGAGTACAGAATGATGGACACATTTGACTCATTTATTAAAAAAAACAAAAAACACTGAATTAATGCCTGGATTGCTTTGAGATACTTTAATATTGAGAGAACACGCTGTTCTGTCAATAATAAGCATTCAACATTCATCACAACTCTAGACTCATTAGTATATGCGGAAATTGTGATACTGTCTCCCTACATTGGATTTTCAACTAGGGATGTACTTCCTATTTCCGTTTATCAATACACTCCTATGACCTTAACGTACTTATAATTGGTAATGTGAACACATGGCACTTGGTCATGAGTTCGACCCCTTTAGTTGTCTGTATTCTATTTTTAATTTTTAATTTTAACTTTTAAACATGCACCTGAACTTGTGCTGTTCATGGAATACTTCTTTTTCAAAAAAGGTCTTCAGCATTTTTTCTCTCACAAAAGTGACAGTGGTAATAATCTAGTTTAACTTGTTGGTAGCCTTTGACCAGCTGTATACTGCTGTATGCGGTACTTATCGATGAATCACGACCCTCCGAGCTAATCCCGGTAGATTATACTGATTAAAATTACCGGAGCGTAATTTATAAACAAACTCGTCGGAGCGTGCTCACCTGTGTACGGGTCCTAGTGAAAGGTAATTAGTTTATTAGGTACAAAGGCTGGCGTTACGAGCCCGGCCCCGTCACTGATTGGACTGTATCCACTAAGTCACTTGTAATTATCAGTAAGTAACTCAAGGTTATATTACCAGTACTAACTAGTACGGTGTCGACTTTACTGTGACTAAATCTGTTTGTACCGCATCTGGAAAGTGTTAGCGGATCTTACCCATTCCGTAGCCTCATACAAAAAGGTAAATATTGTTGATTTCTTATTTTTTATAATTTATGCATTGATCATGATATATTTATCTCATTTATTTTTACGATTAACACGTTGAATTTAACACACAGAAACATTTTCACAATCGAATC